GTCAAATCAGCCACAACTCTCAGACGGACTTTCATACATATCCACTCAGATATTGTATTCAACCCCGATTATCCAATTGCAAGCACTGCCCCACCAAAATCACCAAAAAGTCAATGGACTTTTGGTCACCTTGAGGCTACAAGTGTAGTCTACGTTTTCAAGCCTTCAAGCGGGTCCAACATAGTGGAATTTGCAGACGGATGCTTTTCACTACCTAAAGTGATTTGTCAAATGCTTACTAATCTAAACATACCTGCATATTTGAATGCATTTGAAAAAGAACGCATTCGCCTTCTTACATCCAATAAAAAATCTCGTGGGCAGCCAAAGGGGAAAGGAAAAAATAACCCGTGATTGTTTTCTTCAATTTTGTCTCTTCGTTCCTGTTGTAATAGCTTCAATTGTTTTGTTGGCTCTGTGCAAAGGATCAAATGGCGCTTTTTGTTGATTTTTTATAAGAAACCCGTTGTATGAAGGTATCTGACCAGAAACGTAGCAATCTGGCCTCCAAAAATGGAAAACCGGTGTAGGCATCTGACCAAAAACATAGCAATCCGGCCCGAAAAGAATGAAGACCGGAGATTTTCTGCTACGTTTTCGACAGATACCTCGGTAGGGGCATTCCAGGGTCCTGTTCTTATACCTTTTCTTCCTCTCTGTTAATTGGTGAGTGCCAGTATTACTGCTAGTCTGCTCTAGCCTGACCGACCATACTAATGAGAGTATAATTCATTATTTTACTTCCTTGATTGATCACATACTAACACTTTATGTATCATAGTGTTTCCTCTGAAGTTCTACAGCTATTCCAGGAATTATTGTCACCCCCCCTCCAATTTTTTTATTTTTTTTATTTTTTTAGCCGGAGAAAGAGAATCTCAGCTGGGGAAAGGCACCTCGATATGAACGGTACACAAAGCTAGGAATGGCAAAGTGAAAATGACATTGTTGATTTGTAAACTTTACAGAGTTATATTGTACACAAACCTTCACAGAGATTGTCCGGCTTGAAAAATAAAAAAAATAAAAAACGGACGAGGGGTGACATTAATTCCTGGAATAGCTGTACTAGTTATTGTGAGAATATTTTATGTAAGACTTATACTTTTCTCAAACTTGTATGTAAGTTAGTCTTGGGTTATCATGCTCTGTTTGCTCTATCTTGCTTCTAGTTACGTATAACTAAATGGACTCGTCTATGTGTGGTTCATCTTTTCTCAGAGACATCGTGCTCTTTGCTTCTCATGCTTGTCAGCATTCTTGGCGATTCTCTTATTAGTGAGTAGTTCTCTCGTTTCTTTCATTCTAGTAAAACAATCTTTTACGTGAAAAAGGACTCATGCTTTTCCTTTTTTATTGTGACAGATTAATTTTACGGCATTTCTGTTTCATTGTTTCATTCGTAGACCTTTGATACTAGGTCCTTAAGTTGTATCTAAATGTTTGTTCTATACATTTTTTTAGTTGAATCTTTTGAGACTAGATCCTTAAGATGTCTTGAAGGTTTTTAATCTTCTTATATGTATTTTTTGTAAAATGTTTTAGTATTTTATCTTGAAGTCCTTTTGGTGCTTAGTATTAAGCACTCGAGGGCTGACAAGTTCAGTATTTTGGCCTACATTCAAAAACCAATAGTGGTTTATACATACAAATAAAGCCAAATTTAACAAAAATCTCAAACTTTGAGAGAAGATAGGGGGTGGAGTCCTTGAAATCCTCAGGGGTTTTTTCAATGAATTGGTGAGTCTCAGAGTCTGAGAGTCAGAGAGGGGAATAAGAAGTCTCTATGGTTTATAAAAACCCAACAGGCAAAAATGTTTTACAACACGGACAAATTTCCCATGCAAGACGTAATTCCCCTCACAGGCAAAAGCATGCCTGGTTGTCACAAGTCCCTTGCTGCACTCAAAGCGCGTGAGAAGCAGCAAAGGACTGTATAAGTTGAAGAAACAGCATACTGTTGAATATTGCTACAAAGTTTCTCAGATACTACCATTGAGACAGTCAAAAAAATCCACACCATTAAAGTGCTGATAAATTCTCTAACTACCTAAGTCCCTCTGTCGCCAGGCACTTTTTCCTTGTGAGCTTGGGTGTCTGGAATTATCAGCTTTTGGTGTGTTGGCAGGGGGTTCAAAATCAGAGTTTGGCTGGTAGGTTTTTTAAAACCACAAAAACTCTCCCTTCATCTCAATGAACCCCTGTGCCCATTTTAACAACTGGAGCTAAGGTACTTGTGACCACTGTGTTCAGATCTATCTATCCATATTTTTTGTATCTCAATCTGAGCTCTCTCAAGAATCAAAAAAAGATTTTGAAATTTGGTGACTGAAAATTTACAAAGGATCTAAATAACACATTCTTCTTTCTCTTCCAAGATGATCAAAAGTTGATCAATGAACTTTGTTCAAAAACAGAAGTGGGTCATCTTAATGTCCTGCAAATTTTGTTATCCTCAGAAGTTGTGTATTGCATCAACTACAGAAGGCGGAAGACTGTAGAAGAGCAGGGCCTTTTGGGTCCCTGTTGACACACCCAAAACAGCTGATATTTCACAAGTCCCTCTGCAGGGCACCAAGCTGGCAAAGCCTAGGTAAGAAGGCCCCTGCAAGAATTGGGTTCTGTTAAGTTAGACAAATTCTCATGTAAATGGGATTGATTGAAAACCATCTGAAACAGTGTACTGTTTAATCTTGTTAGAGAGTTTGTCGTATATTACTGTTGAGATAGTTTTATGAAAGCTCAACTAAAGTTGTTCTTCAAAACCAAGTCCACCAAATTCCCCAATGGGGTTTCCTTGCGCATAGGTGTGAAAGAAAGTATAAATATATATCTATCTAATGGATTCAAAATAATCACAAAGTTAATTGAAAAAACCAAGAAGAGGAAACTATCTCAATATCAAATGACAACAAAATCCTCTATTCCAATTCCGACTAGATGGCCGGATCTGCAAATAGTCCTTTTTAATTTTAACATGTTTAGACAGTGCTCCATGCAATAAAGCCAAATGCTAAAAAAATACCCAGCCCTTTATGATCACCCCAACTGTGTTAGAATGTAAATGCAATTTGTTCAAATTCAATGTTTTAGTAAATATTTGGTCAAGACATTCATGTGTTAAGTTAAAAGTCAGAGAAATCTGAGGACAAAGAAAATTGAGTTGGTTTGAAAGTTTGCAAGAAGAGATGACATAATGATTCAACATACATGAGAGGGGATGTTAGCTGAAGATTGACATATTTGATTAGTAGTGGTTGAGCTGTTGGAATTTATGCAGGGGTGACTGGTTGTGTCACATTTTTCTTTCTCTTGAAAATGTTTTTAAACCCAGACACTCACAAAATTAAATAAATATACTTATTAGTTAGGTGTGGCTGAGGGTCCCTTGGTACGCAGACCAAGTGATTCTTTCTTTCTTTTTCAACCCAACCATTTGGGGAAATTCAATTCTGAAGTGGTTCTTTGTCAAACCTCAGGTTTACTCCATCCTTCTTGATCTTATCAAGCCTTGTCAACTTGCTGTCGTGAGATTGATGTTGTCTTTTTTGTTCAAAGCATCCTTGCCATCGTTGAGAATTCTCCAACTGATTCTTTTAAATTGTCCTCAGGCAACAAATGACCACAGCCCAGTCACAAAAGAGGTGCAATTGGTTGAAAAATCAGCTAGATAGGTCAATTTGTTCAGTCAACGAAACCACATGTAACTTGATCAAAGCTGATGAAAAGTTTTTGTTTGAAAAATAAAACATATTCCAGAGGAAAAACTAAAACAATATCAAAGAGAGAAGAAAAGCACAAGGCTGTTTGACAACATCATTTATGTATGACCACTCATAACAAGTAACATGCCAATTTACAACACCCATCTCAAACCATTAGTTAATCATCCTCAAGAACAACAAAAAAATACCACAACAAAAAAAACTCATACATAATCTTTCATCTAAAACAGTTTAAGAAATTTCTCTGTGAAAGAGAAAACTTATATCAGACAGCCACACAAAACTGACCACACTTAAATGCTTAAACAAATTCAGTTTGTTCGTCTTTTCTTGGTGTGAAACACTAAAACAATTTTTCAAAAACCTTGATCTGGTTTTCCGGTTGATTGGAAAGCCAGAGTATGTCATCATTCAACAACTACAACATCTACTTCCATCACAGATGCATTTGGTTGATCATTAGATCGATCTGTTGACCTTAGCTTTTGTGCGATAAACGAGGTTATCTTTTCCCAATCATGTCGGAATATGTCGCTAGGTCTCATATGAACTGCTTGGAATACGAGCAATGATGATATTGAACTTGCATTAGGATCTCTATATCTCGATCGGAATTAGGTGAACAGTGACTTGCCTGTTGATAATTTGAGGCCATGAGATGATATGTCGGTTGGTATGGGGAGACCGTGATCTTTCAAGGGTCCTTGAGGATAAAACGTTATGGATAGCTAGATGAACAAGGATAAGTATGCTGCTGAGCTCGGAATACACATGCAAAAAAAATATACACACGTGTTGATACCAATCCAGATCGGGTGATAACTTGGGCGGCGGGATCCTATTCAAAGTAGGTACATATACTGAGGCTTTCAACTTCTCTTGGATACCTAGGACATCGACATAAGGTAATGATCAGGAATCCTTCACGACAAAAACAAGCGTCGGCGCTATCTAAAGGATTTTATACACATACCCTTGATCGATAACAAAGGTGGCAAAGATTTACATCCTTCACCTAGACAAATTAATACCAAATTCTCACAGTCTGCAAGTCTAAAGCCTCAAGAATCAGTTAATTAAGATCTAAACATGAGGGAAGGCTTAGGATACCGTACGTGAGGAATTGACTCCATAACCAATTGACGAGCTCCTTGACAGCCTTTTTCCGCTCGACCTTCTTTGCCTGGTGAATGATGTTTGTTGATTACAGTCTTCAGCCAAGCTATTCGAGATACCAGGAAAGGGTCAACTCACTAGCCCATCCGTAGTGAGATCCGATGTAGGAGGCGAGACTTGGACATCTATGATGCCATATTCATGCTGGTGAAGCCATTTCATTATACGGGTGTTTCCTTCAAGCTGTTAATAGACATCACATATGACTACATGTTTATGATTTTGAAGGAGAATCACGAGGAGTCTTTGTCGAGAGGTACATACCATGGCGGCCTTTTCATCATTGAAGTTAGTAGGCTGTACATGTAGCTCATTTCGGACATTCCCTCTATATCACGAGACAGGTAAGCACAAGCACACATGACCTCTGAGAGATAGGCTGAGACGACTGACAAATCGTGCATGAATAGCACAACAGTTTCAGTCTCATATACATTTGACCTGATGTTGGACCAGTACGTCAATGAATTCACCTCTTTAGTTGGATAGATCAGGTAAAACTCACGAGACCATTATTTTATTCGTATAGTTGTTCGTCAAAGCTGTAGAGGTTGTGTCATGCAATGGGATCGCGCATAGATTGTGGGTATGATGCAAATCATAGGAACGATGCATCCCCAGAACATCTATGAGGAGAACGATAATGGTGATGGTCGGCTAGATGATATAGCGAGAGAGCAGATTACAGCGTAAAACATACCACTGATAGGGATATTGAGACGTTCCATAGTTAACTCTAGGGAATGCACTCAAAGTCAGAAGTAAGGCCACCAAAAATTTGATATGGACGCCTACCGTCTTGTGTCAACAATCCCCTGGGTAGACTTTTCCAAAATTCGGCCTGAACTCTCAAGCACTCATCCACAGTCTCTGTGGCTACATCACTAGCAACCAGGGCTTTCTCTAATTTGGGCGGTGTTTCCCCCATCAGGACCTTGATACATTCTGTTGCTGACAATGCCAATGACTCGAGGTGATAACCTCCCTATTAATCACACAATAGTTAGACATCCACTCTCGATATATAGTCAATTCGGCGAGGGTAAGTCACATACCTCAAGAGCCAAAACAATATTGCCATTTGCCAAAGAAGATAACATATGGGTCATCAGAGCAAAGCCTGCCGGTGTGACATTGCATTCACCCAACGGATCATTCTTGGCCGCGTCGAATCCAGCAGAAACTGGTAATATGATGCGAGGCATTGTGAGTCTTAGAAAATGCAAATATCGTGACCTTAAAGTAAACCTACCAATGACAAAATCGGGGTTAAATTCCATGGCGATGGGCATCACGAGGCGCTGGAATGCGAAGATGTAATCCTCGTCTCCCATCCCGGCTTCAGGCCAAGGAATATTGACGTTACTAGAAAATTTGTAGATCATTCGCATCAGGAGAAAGCAATTGGCTAATCGTCTCTTATGATCAGGCCTTGGGAAGAAGATTTCTTACTAGCCTCTGCCAAGTCCTTCGCCTATTCGGGTACTTCCACCCCAATCCGAGCCAGGATAAAAGTATGTGGTTCGTCCGTTCTCTAGATAACGGTGTATGGAGATGTACAGAACGCTGGGATCATGATAAAATGATCGCTGGGTTCCATTCCCTTCGAAGCCAATCAAATCGGTAAGCACAATACATGCAGTGAACATAAACAAGATGACGGGGTTTAGGTTCATGACAGTCACTTACCATGATGAACATCCCTGAGAGCAAAACAATCTTTAGTGTCGAGGTATCTTGAGAGCTATCATCAGAGACTCACCAATCAATCAACAGGATCCGCCGAATCTTATCAGGATAGATAGTTCGAAGCCATTTTGCAGTCACAGCAGCATTGTTGAACACACAAAAACCCGATGGATCCTCCGGTTCAGAATGATGACCAGGTGGTCGGACGACCGCGAAGCCATTCCGAATCCGACCCTCAACCACTGCCCTACACATCTCAATGACTCCCCCACAAGACAGCCGAGCGCAATCGAACGTTTCAGCGTTGACAAAGAGAGATAAACGTGAATAATATGTGGCGCGATCCTTGAGCTCCTGGATATCCATAGCTGGATTACCACACGAAGAAATTCTTTCAGCGATTCCATATATATGATTTGGACGGGACATAGCAGTCAAGATAGCCTCTTCTCACATGCAGTATCTTGAATACGATTCCAATGACCCTCACTATGAACCAACATGATTTCTTCTTTCGTGGCCTTTCGCACTTGAACATGCAGTAGATGTGGTATCAACTTTGCCTCTGATGAGTAGATGTGAATAATAGTATGCCCGAGCACAACGATCATTTGAATGGTTAATGAAAGTCCTTCCAATCATTGATGAATAGTATGAGATGAATTCAGCCTTACTAGTAACTTGAGCCATGATTCTCGTGATCCTCGATGGTCGCTCGGGTTCGTCATCATCATCATCGTCGTCGTCCTCGTGATCGAAATGACAATCAGGCTTCCAATGCTTCAACATCTGTTCAGAGCTACATATTCCAGTGGGAATGCTGGAAAGGCTGGAACGGATAACCTGGTGTGACGATTGAGAAGCAGTTGATGGAGGTTGATTCAAGCCAGTCTTGGAAGAGCTTGGTCCATTGAGGGTAGAACTATGGGATCGAACAAGTTGAGATGATGGCATGTTACAATTATCCGAAGGGTCGCGCGTTTCTGAAGTAGGGTCCTAAAATTGATAAATAGAAATTAAGCTGGGTTTGATTGGTTGTTTAATAGTAAATTTTGACCAATTCATCAGTTTGGTTAATCTACAATATCATTGGGAGCATCTGGAGATAATAGGCATGACTCAAGAGACTAACATATTGAAGGGAAGGGGAGCCTCAAAAGGGAGAGAAACACAAGAATCAAATGATTCTGAGCCTGTCCCTAGTTGCTTCAAACAGAGTGATCCTGATGGAGTTTGGATAGATATGACTTGAAAAACCCTAAGAACAAAGGCCTGTTAAGTCATCCACAGTATAAACATATTCAAGCATATCACTTTATAAGGATCCGGGTATCCCCCCCTTTCACGGGTAGTGTAATGCTTGTTAGAGCATCCACTATCATGAAGGTGATTTATTGGAAATTTAGCAGTCCTGATTGCAAAATTTAATCATGTGTGTTTCACCCAAGTTGGCAACCACATTAAATCCACTACGGGATGATTTACTGTCTGCTTTACCATAGTTCCTATGATAAATCAAGTCACAGATGTTCTAACGTTTGAACACGCAGGGTGCAAGATCTGACGCAGTTGTACGGACTGCAGGTCTAAAACAGGTCCATAGTGGACCTGCCTGTCTTTTAGCAGTAAACTGATGTTAAATCATGTTGTTGGTGCAACCAGAGTGGATGCTCTTAGAGCACCCATCATCAGAAGGTGATTTATTGTAGATTTTGTGTTCCCAGGCGCAAAATTTGATCATGTGTGTTTTACCAAAGTTGATAGCTGCATGAAATCCACTATTGGATGATTTACTGTCTGCTTTACCTAGTTCCTACAAGAAATCAAGGTTTAAGCTTTTGTATATTTGAACAAGCGCAATGCCAAATTTCACACAGTCATAGGGACTAGAAGTGTAAAACAGGCCCATAGTGGACCTGTGTGTAACTTAGCGGTAAAGCTATGATAAATCACCCTGTGACCGCAACCATAGTGGGTGCTCTTAGAGCATCAGCAGGGGAGCCTGTATTTTAGGGGCTCCCAAACAGACCGCCAATAGCAATTCCCAAATGTAGGGGGTCTAAAAATGGGGGTTTGTGCAGTGGAGCACTTAATTGTATGAAAAACCCTCGATTGAGGTGTTTTGGTATGCTTGTACTCAATAGTATCAAATACACATCCACTCAAGGACCCCAGCAGTGGCATATTCAATGCCAGTACTGAGTTGCACATGACATTGAGACTCTTGATTGACCCCCTAAATCTGAAGACTCTTGATGTCCCACCTCACATTTTACGGGGTATGCTGCAGCAATTTTTGATGATTTCACCACCTGTATTAGGGGGTTTCAAGTTGTGTTTTATGGTATTTTTACAGTGCAACAACTTGCCCGTTGTTGCAAAAATTACCGTAAATGTAGAAATTTGGGACACCTTTTTAGGTGTCCCAAACGCTGTTGACCGTATATTTGCAGAAAAAAAAGACCCTGTAAAATTTTACAAACTTTTCAGTTTTGTAAAAGATTCACACAAAAATATTCCAATTTGAAACCCCCTATTGTCAAGAGCCCACATTTTACGGGCTCTGCTGCTGATGCTCTGAAGGCTTGACCAGTGAAGGTAGTGCTGACAGGTTACTTTGGGCTACCTGGCTGATGGCAATTGCCAACTCATGAAGAGCTTTGCAATGAATGTTCCGTTTGATGCCACATTTCACTGATTGAGTCCTAGCTTACAGCCAATTTGAAAATGATTTATCATAAAACTTAAATCTGGACTACAATTGGTGCCAGTGCTTTTGGTCTTTGGTTGGATGCTTTCATTCCCTTGGTAAGTTTTACTCTGATCACATTATGCTTTTTGTTTTGCATTCTGTGAACAATCATGTAAATCACTGCTCCTCAAAAGTAGTTGTTCAATTAAAGTGGTGTGATTTTAAATACACACATCTTGTGTCTGATGTTCAGCCCTTTCTTCTTACCTACAATGTTGACCACCAAATAATCTGCTCTCACTACTTAAACTTTCTTGCATACAAATCCAGCAGTAGAAACTGGCTTCAAATGTACTTGACAGTGCTGAGAACCAACTTTAGAGTTAATGAAGAGCAATTTTGTGATTAAAGACTTCCACATATTTGGGAAATTTGTCTCATCCTTCCAATTTTCTTCCCTCTGGTCCCTTTGCATGATTTTTGAAGGAGCAAAAGCACTGCTTGCAGAGTGAAAATGGACTTACTGGTCCAATACCAACAGATTCTGAGAGTGGCACCAGATGCCTGGGCCCTACTTTGTTTTGAAAAGTGCATCGTGTTGCAAAACCTGGTTTCTTTCCAAAATAATGTATTTTTCCAAGGTGAAAAATGATTGAGTTTGATGCACAAAATGATTAATAATGCAGAAAAATGTAGGATTAATGCACTTTTAATCATTTTGTGGAACAAATGTAATCATTTTTCACCTCTAAAAAATACATTATATTTGCAGTGTTTTCTTGTTGATCAAGTTTTTTTTCTTGGCTACTTTTGAGCATACAGGAAATACAAACCCTGTAAAATTATTTTTTGTTGGTTTTGACAACTGTGGCAACAAAGTGGTAAATCATTCTCAAATTGCCTGGGAGTCCGTTGTGCAGAGGTTTAACATAGCAAGCAAGGTCAAGTCCTACAATTGGAATCAAATTCAATCCAATCTGTTTGATTAGAAACATTTGATCATTTAACATTACCACATGCTATTGGTTTTTCATGTTCTGTGTCTTTACCTTAATCAACACCGAGACAGCAGCGCAACGCAGCGTTACGAGGCTGGTTGCGCGTAGAGTAGCTATATGAGCTATCGGAAAATTTCCCAATCGGCTAACGCTGCTCGCCAAGCTACGCTATCTACCGTTGCGTAGCTCTAATGTAATCTCACCGCTATCCGAAAGCTGTAACTCTGCTAGTGGAGTTACGTTACAGCTACCGTAACTAGTTAACGGGCTAAAAGTTGTGAATGCGCCATAAATTTCTTCCAGTAGAAAAAAATAATAAAAAGGCAATGAAATTTTACAAAAAAGCCAGTAAATGTACCAAACAAACATGAGAAATATGACAAAATCAGAAAAAAAACAAACTAATAAAAGAATGAGACAAGAACATGAGAAGATCACAAAAAATCTTGAACCCTAATGTGCTCCATCACGCTGCTGAATTGTTCACCTAGAGGGACCCCCTCAACTAACCACATACGTGTTGAAACCAACCCTGGGCCAGCAACGCAGGTGTTGCGTGTTGCGCTGCGCCTGCGTTGCGGTTTTTCTGACCGCAGCGCAACATAGAATCAAATTCTAGGTTGCGGCCTGACCCGCAGCGCACCATCATTTGTCAAATCGATGGATTTTTTGGGCCGCAACAACATTTGTTGCGTTGCTGCCCAAAAAAAATCACAGTTCGGCGTTTTTTTGGCGCTGTTGCGCCTGTTGCGTTGCGCGACGGTCAAGGCGCCGCGCAACCTGACCTCACCTTTTGTTGTTGCGGTACTTACCGCAGCGCAGCATGTAATGCAGGTTTGTGCTGCGTGTTGCGGAGCAACGCACCAAAAAACACTCGTGTTGCAGTGCGTTGCGTTGCTGGCACAGGGTTGTTGAAACCGACCTCTCAATGGTTATGGGAGTTAACCCCCTCGGGGAGGCTGAACACACATCAGCTGCGGCTGAGACAGTGCGCTCGGGTCCGGCAGAAGATCCTGAGCAAGCCAGGTAGTCGCAAGCCATTAGGGCAACTATCGGAAACCTGGATTGATTAACCTGTCAAAGTAAATGTGTTTGTGTGCGTGCATAATTCAGCATTAGGCATGATCAGGAAAGACGTAAGTAACTGGATGGGACTTACCGACCACCAACGAAGCGCTTCTTTTGGGTCACCAATAACCCTGCAACTCCGAGCTCGTAGGTACGACAGATAATTGAAAGTATATATAACGGAACATCTGTATAAAGATGCCAAAAAAGAAACGGTGAGATGGATTGATCATAATTAGTGATTGATTTAACGAGATGGATTGTGAGTGATGAAGGAAAGAACTTGAATTGAGAAATCAGAATGGAGGGTGGAAGAAAACACGGACTACCTGGAATTCACCTTCAGAATATGAATACTTGCAAAGCCATGCGCCCCTCCCCTTGCGTTCATCCTGTGACTTGATGGGTGATTCGACTAGTCGATTGGGTGATATCTTGATCTTGATTGGGATGTCAGGCTGATTTTGGGAAGGCAGCCCCTGCACTCCCTTACACGTAACAGAGCTACGGTAACGGGGTGCGGGGCTGATGCGTAACTGGGAAAAAAAAACCCAGTTATCGGGGCCTGCTAACGTAACTCAAAAAAAAAAGCCCCGTTATCCGGGGCCGATAACGTAACTCTCATCATGAGAGTTACGCTATCAGATAGTGTTACGCCTAGAGCTATGTTAACGCTACGCTAGCGCTATCGCGAGCGCTGCTGTCTCGGTGTTGCCTTAATGATTGCTGATTGGAACCAAAAGCTGGAAAACAATTCTCAAAGACAACTCATCTACTTGAGGGTTATCATACTAGTTATTCAATTATCTTTTGAGGCTTCTTGTCATCAGCACAAGGTACCCCACAACCTTTGAGAAACAGAGAAAGTTTTTTGTGTTTTTGTGCTTGGACTAGTTTTATATGCCACAGTGAGTCATTAAACTGCTCTGTCTGTATAACATACTTTGGCCACTTGGAGTCCTAAGACATTCTTAAGCTGAATTGGGAGTTATTTAATTTTGCAGAAAAAAACACTGGTGACACAGATGCCCCATAATAAAGACACTCTGGGGCAGAGATTTCCTTGGAGTTCACTCACCCCATTGGCCCTGACAGATGACAGTCTAGCAAGCTTAAGTAGGTACCTTTCTTGAGATGTACCAGCCTACTTAAAGGAGGGACTTGCACACAAAGTCTATATTTTGGCACAAGATTGGTTGGGGTATGTTGCCAGAAACTCATCTCCTTATAAATTGGTTTTTTACAATTGTAGGTTGCCTGAGTCCAATATTGAAACATGTTCAACTTAGTCTCCTCTACTCCATGGAGAGAGGAGGGCAGTCTGCAGGCAGGCTCACAGACCACCTATAGCCGGTTTGTTTTCAAACTCAGACTGACAGTGTATTGTGTGTCAGTGGGATATCAGCCTGTAGATTGTCTTTGAAGGAGGGTCTGTAGGCCGTCATTGGAGGTCTGCAGACTGTCAATTGAGGATCAAGCAACTATTTTTTTTTGGTTTGGGTGGTCATTCATCAAGCGCAAGCAAAGGGGGACATCAAAAAAACTTGTGTTTGTTTAATCAAAACTTTTATGTTACATATTGAATACAGATATATAAAAGAAATGTACAGTCCCCTCCAAGTGGTTTACATAATCATTCAAGTTTTGCAGCGGCAGGGCCAGGGTTTTTCCTGCACCCAATGATTACGGTTACTAGGTGTGGAGACGTGTACATTATCATTTGCCAAAAGAATTGTTGAAATAATAAGGACAACCATGCTATACTTCTGGTTGATGGCAATGATGCGTTAGAAATGTATCTAGATCAATGTGATTGAGATTGTGAGTTAATTACAGTTGTTTTCAAATAGCTTGTCCAAATTTGCCTGCAAAACTTGAGCAATTTGGTGGTAAGTTTGCGGCAAGCTGTAGATGAGATGATGTTTTAAATTCCAAATTTTGATTGATAATCCATGAAAATTTGGGGTTGAATTGGGCTCAAAAGTTTTGAATAATAAGTTGAATTTGCACTTAATTGTTTTAGTCAGAGTTGTAAGGTTTCAGTTTTGGATTTGTATGGTATTTGAACCTAATAGTGATGATGGATTGATGAATTCTCAATCCAATGTAATATCTGATTCTAACTTTCCTTTCTCAATGGTTCTTTTTCCTTTACCTTTAAGAGGTTGATTTGACAGGTAGGTATGGTTTGATGATTAAAATGAATTTGTTGGTTGAAGTTGATTGGAAAGTTTTACATTTGATTGCAGTGTAGTAAATTAGTCACATTTTGTTTTGGATTGAATTGAGATGAAAAAATCAACTTCAATAAATATAAAAGTGACAAAGGTTGAGTTGATTGATGGTTGAAGTAAGATTGAATATCTTGGAGATCATACAATTCAAAGTTATGTTCAAGTGGTGACTCATTGGTTTATGATGGATATACCATGAACCAACGGACTTCAATTGGCCAGTGCAGCTTTGATTGTGTGGTTTGATGGCAAATCAAACGTGATATCTTCATCTTTGATAAGCTGGGAAAAGACCATTATACCCAGAAGTCAATATCAATAATGGTATGTTTTAAATGTGGTTGAAATTGTATACTGTGGAGGATAATTGGGGTTTAAAACATAAGAAAATGACAATACTCATAACAGGTAGTGACAAGGTTATTAAAAGTGAAGAGAAAAGGTGTCATCTGGATCTCAGCACAAAGAGGTAAATTGACCAACTGTTGAGATTCTCATGCCAGAGACCCATAACCTGATAACAATGTGCTAATCGTGAGCACCTTCTCCACAACCTCAAGTGTGCAGACTTGGGTATAACTAACCTAGAGTTTTCGGAGGGAACATTAAAGATGAGAATATAAAGATGAGCAAAGTAAAGCTTCGATGTAAAGCTTGATCTAGTGGAATTCTCTTTCCAACAGATAAATATTATTATTAGCTAACCTGATAACAATGTGCTAATCGTGAGCACCTTCTCCACAACCTCAAGTGTGCAGACTTGGGTATAACTAACCTAAAAACACCAACAACACAAAAGTAGAAAAAGTAAACAGATAAGCTAAAGAAAGAAAAACGATATGATAACTATATGTATAAGTACCTAGAGTTTTCGGAGGGAACGTTAAAGATGAGAATATAAAGATGAGCAAAGTAAAGCTTCGATGTAAAGCTTGATCTAGTGGAATCTAACAGTATTCATCAATTAGTGTACTACGATAAAGAAAAGAAAAGGTAGCGAATGACTCACTCTCTTTCCAACAGATGGGGAAAGAGAGTAAGGGAGACACGAGGGTACAATATATGAGACACAGGACACAGATTCAATAAGACACATTGGGAATGATTCTCGCTAACATTAGTTGGGAAACTATCGTGCACACACATCAAGTATCAGTAATCACTTCTAGACGAGAATCTCAAAAACACTACACTTCTTGATCCTACATTTCACGCTCAACTATCAAACTGGTGACAGTCTTGATTGTCTTTCAACACCTGATAGAAAGAAAATTGAAGAGGGATGAAGGTGTTGGTAGGAAAGAGGAAATTAATGAGCTGGTTTGGCAAAACTATCAAGTCACAAATTTTATTTATCCCAAGGATCAAGGGCCCAAACACCAATATAAAGCTGTTTGTTGTTTTAGCCTTCTATGGAGTTTTTGAGGGTGAGACAATCTTCTCTTGCACCAGAAATTCCAAACCAAAGAATAAACATCTGCAGACCTGCTACAGACAGTTTTTGGGCAGGCACCTGGCCGGTTACAATCGTTCTTTAAAGACCATCTGCAGATCAATTTCAGATGGTTTCAGGGCAAGCAATAGGTTGTGTGTAGCCTTTCTTAAAAGCCCATTTTCAGGCCTTTTGTAGATGGTCTTGAGGCACACAATAGGTGGTATGTATCCCTTTTTCAAAGATCATCTGCAGGCCTTTTACAAGCTACTTCCAGGCTAATATCAGGCTCATTTATGACCCAACTGTTCTGGGACCTCTCTGACCATTCTTGGGCCCAGAATCTCCCTGTGGTTCACAACCTCACACTCTGTGTTTCTCAAGAGACAAAGTTGTTCCATAGACACAGAGAAAGCTTGTTGTTTTGAATGTACACCAAGACTAAGATTTCAAATATGGCCAGATTAGTGCAATTTTGGACCTGTGGCTCCAAAGGACTTCTATGTGTATCTCCAAAACCATTTTAGTAATTGAGAAACCAAGAGTCTGAAGTTATAGAGGAGATCAAAGCAAATATTTTTTTGGACCAAGGCAAGTTGAATTTGTAAAAAATGTTTATATGGAAATGTGTTTTTAGTCAAGGGCCCTGACCAATCTTGTGACAAATTTTAGACTTTTGGTGTAAGAACATCCCCAGTACATCAAAAGATAGAAATGGCCAGAGCTGATCAAGGAGATAAAGACAGGTCAAGCTAGCATCAAGTCCCTTCCAAAGTGGGAGTAAAAGCGCCAGTAAAATACCACTGCAAAATTGCACATCTTGCATGTGGAAAAACATCAGTATGAAAGTGGTTATTGAGAGCTCAAAGTTGTGTCATTGAATTCATAGCTTAGTTGTAAGAGCTGCAATCAAACTAAGAGCACCCACTATCATGAGGGTGATTTATCGTAGATTTAGCGTTCCTGAGCGCGAAAATTAATCAGGCGTGTTTTACCAAAGTTGGTAGCCGCATGAAATCCACTATGGGATGATGTAACATATGATTTACCAACGATAAATCACTGTAAATCAATGGTTTCCATAGTGGTCTGATTTTGAAATGAATTATCTCATTTCTCATTTCTTTCATCCAAAAAAATTTCATTCAATGCCTGCTCCGAGTTCCTTGAAAAGACGGATCAACTGTCTTTTGTCGTCTTCAAACAACAATGAGGAACAACAAGAGTATGGCCAAATGGTCTTTGACTACTTGTTTGATAAACCTCCACCTCCTCCACCTCCTCACACTCGCATCCGAATAGATCAAGACCGTGCTGAACCTGTTCAGCAATTGTATGATGACTATTTCATCCCCTTTTGAGGATGAGTTTTGAAGTTCAAACTTTGAAATCGAGGTTTCCGGGTTTGAACTTTGAGATTTGAAGTCTTGATTTGTGAAGTTTTGAAGTTTGAGGTTTTGAAAAATGCCGTTGTTGACCGATTATCGTACGATAAATCAAGTCGTAGGCTTGCATAGATCTGAGCACGCGGGGTGCAAGATTTAACGCAGCATTACGGACTGCATGTCTAAATCAAGTCGATAGTGGACCTGAGGGTATTTTAGCGTTACGGTAACGCTAAATCACCCAGTTAGCGCAACCTTAGTGGGTGCTCTAAGAGCAGAAACAGAAAATCAATTATTGCCTAGAACTTATGAAAAACAGAGAGAATTTGTCAAAACTGCAAAGGAGAGAAAAAACCAAAAAAAAAACTGGATCCAGACTTGGACATTAATATACTTCACTTTTACAAATCATTAAACAAATCACAAAACTAAAAGAAGTGAAAATGCTAAAAAGAGGTGTGGTGGTACATTCAAACTTGAAAAAATATAAGATTCACTTGTGAATCAAGTGAGACAATGTGCTAAATGTAGATGAAAAAAAAACAAAATGCTTTAAAATAGGCAATAATGCATAAAGGACTTGGTTCACTTTGCAACAATAATCATTGAATTCAGGCATGGCGGACAATCGGATCAACCTAGTCGGAATTTTCATTGATCCAAGCGTAAATAGAAGCTATGACACAAATTCAGCCAAGAACTTGTCAGAAATAGGATGTTGGATTCATATGATGAATTTGCTTACTTGATAAACACCGCCAAGAAAAGGATACCACATAATGCTGTCGGGCCGTATGGATCATGATATCCGGAAGCCGAGCGCTGTCTTATACTCATGACTCTCCAAACATAGGTCCCAGTACTATAGATGATTGATAACAAGGCAACAACGGTGAATGTGATGGATGCGGTGAACCCAACGTGGTCGTCAACAGCGGTGAAACTCATCAGGGTTACTGCTATAGCGCCCAGCAGCGTAGAGAATTCAAGCCAAGTCTGTTATATACATATTGACAATCTGATTAGCAATGAAACTTCCACTGATCATGTCGGGTGACAGAACAAGACAACTCACCAAAAAGGTTCTTTCGGTGGCAAAGTATACTTTGGGCTCGACTCGAACCGGTACTGCAACTCGCTTACCACGGGGAGCCTGGAAATGTCGAATCCATTCAACACCACTCTCTCTAGGTGCTGTGGCTCCAACAACCTTTGGACCTTCATCCGCCAAGTCAGATTCCGCATCGGATGCGTCCGCGTGATTTTCTTGTGACCCAGATTCGACAGCATTACGAGACCTTAATTTCTTTGCCTTGACTTTCAACATCTTTCTGAGATTACCGGGCGTCAATTTAGCCAAGTAGGCTGGCTCGACCAGGGAAGAAATTTGATGGGAACCTGTTTCTGCGTCCATTGATATAGTGTCTACTGCTTCAGATGGCGAGGGCTTCGTAGCTCCTATTGGTGGAATTGCATGTGAAGACGGTTGTGGATCTGATGACCGGTTTTTTTCTCTGGCTGCTTTTGCTTCTGCTACGGCGTCGGGCGGCAATCCAGCCCAGCGACTTTCCTCGGTGTGGTTGGCAATTTGTTGTAATCGCTCCTCGCCGCTCTCTGCTCCGTCCTCGTCTTCTGATAATGGTTCAGTGTATGCATTCGATTTGCCAGCTTTGTCTCCTTGCTTGCTTGCCTTCACGGGGATGCGACCTGACGCGTTATCGGAGGAGGGTTTCGGAGGACTATTGGACCCCTGACCTCTATCAATGACTTTCAGGGAGGGGTCGGCTTTGAGGATGTCGATTTCCATTTGAGGCAACCAAAAAGGCACCAAGCAAACGCGATCGGGCATCAATGTAGCGCAACCATGAATGACTGATATGATCGAGTCGGTTTGATGGAAATGTAACGACAAGAAAGGATCATCTCAATCAGTTGACTGCGTTTTAATCGCCATCTATAAACATTCAGCTCGCATGTTGTATGTGACTTCGAGAGACTTACACTTGGAAAATTTAGGGACAGCTTCAACCAGGGGACCGGAAACGAGGTCTTTCACCCATTCAGGGGGTTCTTGACCTAACTGGGTTTGAAGTTTCACTTCCAATACACCGTACGGAAACAGGTGTTTATCATCGGAATCCACATTATCGAAGGGGAAGTCGATTCCAACATCTTTTCGACGCCAATTATTGTCCGGTCTCCTGATTTTTCCATCCCAGTTGTCTTCTCTGATGAGTGTGAGGTCAGTATCAAACGAGATTCGGACTCGAGCGTCACCTGGCTGCTGGAAGGCTGTCCGGTTATAAAAAGTACGAACGCAAGGTTGAAGGTCTTTTTGTTTGATTCGATCTTGGACTTCGCGTGCAAGTCGGATCATGGAATCGATCTCCTTATCTGATTTCTTGCCTTTTTTCCTTATAGCTTCAAACTGTTCATCCATTTGGATTTTTCCGTTGAGATAATCATTCAATTTGTCTTCTTTGATACTGAATCTTGCCTTCACAGACTTCTCGCCTGTCCAATCCTCTCGGTGCGTTTTACGTTCTACAAAGATTTGTGAGACAGACATATCCCCGTACCATCTCATTCGTATAGCTTCGGCGCCTTCAGTCTTTTCGAGTCGACCGAGATAGAGTTCGAGGTCCTCATTATCATAGTAGATAGAGGATATAGCAGAGTCTGAGGGTTCGAAAGCCTTCTCCGGGTTGAATACTATGGCCGAGATGAGGGTAGAAGAAGGTTAATATATGATCAAGCCTGAAAAGGCATGAGCTGACAGGATTACCTAACACAGGTAGATGTTTGAGAACGAGTAACTTTAAAGCTACGAAGTTACTGCGATGCACCTATCAAATCATATTCAAAAGGTTATTCAGCGAGACACTCAGCGGGACAGCGCAGATGGACACTTGAGCAGAAACTAACCCAATATTTCGTTGTCTGCCTGACAAACGCACTTTGACCGCCTCCAGCAGCGCTATCTCCTACTGGTGGATTACCTCTGGTCCGAACCAAATTGAAGAGTCTGGATAATTGTACCACCAATGCCTCATAATTTTCTTTATAAAATGGACGCGTTTCGAGATGGTGCTGGATAAAGTCTCTTCTGAGCTCCCAGCCGGTTTTTTTCTGTGCGGTGAGGTGAGATTACAGGTTGTAGAGGAAATAACAAAGAACAATGTGTGGGTGGACTGCAAACCGCCAAGAAACATGTTCACGGAAGAATACACTGACATCATGCTTCTTAACAATCTTGATGAACGCGGTGTAGTTGAGATGTGAGAAGTGACCTACAAGCACCAATGTAGTGAGATTGACACAGAAGGAAGCCGAAGGTAAGTGGTAGGGCATAGCTGGGGGGAAAGATCTGATACGAGAGGAAAGTAGCACGGACCAAGATCGTGGACGTCGGCTATGATGTTGGTCAGTTCTTCTTCGAGCGCAGCGTATCTCTCTTCTGTATCCTCGTCTGGCTCGCCATCACTCGTGTGACTGATGATTGCCTCTTCGTCGGCATCATCGCCTGCCCGTGTGGCACTAGACTTGCTGGAATCATCTGGGTTTCGAGTCCCTGGAGTGTTGCTTATGAGGTTCTTGACTTCTATCTCGTAGAAAGTAATCGATTCGTGAAGATCCAATATCTGTGACCACATGGTGTGCATGATGAAAGGAAGTGAGCAACGTATGATAGTACTTTTGTCAAAGAAAAGAGCATTGTGAGATGATCAAGGGGAAGGGTAAGATGATCCACCTTTCGTTCTTGGAAATCAGCTACTTTTTGTAGCTCCTTGTCGAGCTCACTGACAAAAGCCTGTTCATCGGTGTCATCCCATTGTTGTTTACTTTGACGATGCTTGATAAATTTTTTGAGACCGGAATAATCGACGTAATAATTCGACCATTCCTCGTTCAAAGCTCGTTTGATTGTTACACCGAACTTCATGTTGATGATTAGCGAATGGAAAAGTATGCGGTTCTTGATGAATTGATCTTCAACATGCACTCTTGCTGAGAAGTGCTTTTTGGCGATTTGAACAATTTGATCCGACTGAATTTCTACACCGCAACACGGTTCTCCCGTGGATGTCCGTGCATACCCGGTGAAGTCCGTCTGAGGTCTAGCCAGGTCCGACACGGTCCCCGGTGTCCTCGTCCAGCTGAATTCATGGCCCGTGGCACGTCATCAGAGCTCGAGTGCGTGCAGGAAGTGCACGGAGGTGCAAGGTAACAAGGGAAGCATCGTAATGAGACGAAAAAGAAGTGAAACGAGAACTGTGATGAACTCTCACGGGTCACCGGTGGATACATACATATATCAATGAGGATAGCAAAAGATAACAAATGATTATGGCCGATTGTGGTTGTGTGATTTCGAGGGCGCGGCGAACGCGCTTGTTGAGCTTACTGCGTGATCAAAGTGTCTTTTGATTTTAACCTTGTTCTCCTCATCTATCCACGGGATTTCTTTGACCTTTCAACCTTTGGCATACATATCAGGCTATACATATTCTGATGAGCCGGTGCTGACCAGTTCAACAGCGATTGGCTCAAAAGAATCCAAATGTTATTGGATGTCGTCTCTCATCATGGTCATGACATCCGCTTGCTTTTCATGACCAGTTTTATCCAAAATCCTGATCTCGATCGCTATCGAACGGCCAGATATGGAGGGGACTCTCTCTCCTGAGTTGCAGGGGCGTATCGATGCATCTTGAATTGCTTCCAAGGCTGACCCCAAGTTGAACCTCCGATGACATCATATCGGTGAATGACCCAGTTTGAACCAGTCTAAGTCGCATCTGAAAGTCGAATTCACCTCCGCATTCGATATCCACCCCGCCGTGGATCGGCTGCTCGTGATCGATTGTATAGCCTCGGTATTTCGATACTCACTGACCCCAAAGCTGCGGGAAAGATGCCGACTTTCGTCTCTCCACATGATCTACAAGCTTTACTTTACAGAGCTTGACGTAAAAAAATGAGTCCGTCCCCAGACACCAAGACATCGACCAAGCTCTAGCTTGCGGACTGAATGATACTGCCGATTTGGCTGAGAACATATGCCTCACTCCAGCCCATTGCTCCAAGAGCTCCAAGCCTTCTTGGGAACGATTCGGGGAGTTATAAATTCGAGATCTTCCAACAGCCGGATTGTATTCTCCATTCCATCTTTCATCACTGATTATTATCTTCAAGCCACACATTCACTTTAATGATACCTCTGCTGGTCTCTTATTAGCGCTTTTGATCAATAAGCGAGAGTACCTTATCGCGTGTCTCATCTTCCTCTTTCTTTCCCACAGCTACTGAGCTGGCTCCGATTTAGCCCGCACTGTGATCAGCTACACAACACCATCGCTAACTAATTCGATCGAAATACAAGAGAAACGGGTGCAATTGACTTTCATCCTGGTGATTGCTCAGCTTCCACACTTTCACATCCACCTTCAAGGTCGCGTGCGTATCTATTTACAGACAGCATCTTCACACTTGCCGCTAAATAGGGTCCCTCAGAACCGATCTTTCCGCCGCGCTTTATCCAACTTTTGTCACAATTAGGTCTGACCATTCATTACGTCCAGCACATCTCAGCACTTCGTTCCACGAACCACACCTCATCTTTTCGAGTGAACCATCCAAGGATTCGGTCCCAAGATTTCGCTGATTCAAGATTGAGTGATTCAAATTGTAGATCGTCGTCGGTAGGTCCCTTTTAGGCTCATTCCACAATCTACTTGGCGTCTCCGATTAGCTTTGATTGGGTCGTTGAGGTTCAAATGTATTTCGGACTTGAACTGTATTCGAACACAAGACTTACATTACAGTGTGCTTTCGTCTTATCTCAGTCGCCCAGTCGCATCGTCCTCCGCAACCACACCCCAAAAAGGATCCCCTAAAACATTAGGGTAAATAAATTTTTCAAACGTTACTGATCTAAATATCTAACCGTTGCGAGACATCCACTAAATTCATGCCACTCATTTGATATTCACCATTCATTCCATCTATCCCCAAAGACTTGGTCCCCAAGTTGAATCCAAGACCTCAACACCCTCAAAGGGCAACCGTTTGCAGAGTTCGGGCAAAAATATTTTTGAAACACGGTCAATCAAATCTTTTCACCGGTCAAAATTACCTGCACGCCTGCCTTCTCAATCATTCTTGGGGAATTTCTCCTTTTTACTTGAAATTTCGGAGACAAGTCTACGACAATCTATTGAACGAACAACGATATCTGACCTCGAAATGATGGATACTCGACACATTCCGCAAAACCCTGTACCCCACTGCGCGGTCATTTTCCACCTCTGCACAAGTCTATCTATGCATCTCCTTCAGCGTCGTCCTGGGGTGGAGTGGCATTTCATCAAAGAACACCGTTCCGAGAGCGAGATTGGCTGCGAGGAGCTTACAAGCCTCGCACAGTCGCGCATCATTCCACAGTCTGCTTGCACCATTGAAATTGATTCTTCAGGTAATTTTTCTCATCTACGAGGAAGTTTTGCAATGTGCTGATCGAAGCTCTCGCTTTCTGTGCTCAGTTTGGTCACATCGGCCTACCCATTCACTTGCTAACTCAATAGCCCCAACTCCTCCATGCGAATCTCCGTCGCCTTCATCTGAGATGATGTCCCGAAACAATTCAAGTGACCCATCTACAAACCCATCGACCGCTGCGACGACACCCGACACATTGAAATCCGGCCTGTCTCCGAATGCAGTCGAGGGAATCCCTACTTGTCCATCAACATAATCCTTCGATCAAGAACACGTTCCTTAAGCATCAACATCACCCTTCCAACAAGCTGATCTTGACTTCCTTGCATCTGAACTCATTCATCATGCCCTCAATATTGAATATTGCGCATACGGATTGTATTACTACTAAAAGAACACTAACAACTATAGCCATAATGTTGCTATTCTGCCGTGTACACACCTGAGCTTGTGATCTTCATGTTCCTGCGAATTATCATCTGCGATTCATAAGCTCGTTGACTTCACACTTCATGGACGTTTGACTGCCAGGAGGCCCAGCCCGTGCTTTCTTCTTCTTGTAAATTCATATCTCTTTGTCACATGTTGATTTTGTTTGTCGAAATGTAACTTCGACCTGAGCAAACGATTGATCCTCGTCTATAGACTGCACAAGGATATCCAAGCTGATATGATGCTGAAACACAGGGACAATACTCTTCTCCACCAGCGAGTACATCCACATTTTTCACTTACCACTCATCGGAGGAAAGGAGTCTTGATTTAAATTTGACACGTGAGCTACCAGAGCACCCTGTGTAAAAATTTCACCATATCAAGCATTATCTAACGCTAGAGCTCATGATGAGTCTCATAGGCAAATTTATTGACCATTGGCTTCAGGTGTGAAGTATGCAAGTAGGGAAAAAAAGGTTCAAACTGGGCAGTGACACATTAGGCCTCGTTTGGTTGTGATTATTTTACTGTGGTATTCGGAGCATCGCAGTAAAATAATTGCCAATTAAATTTGGGCGTTTGGTTGCCCAAAGTTAGAGATTATCGTACCACATTATTTGGTCGATAATCTCACAATCTCAAGGTAAAAGTACAAGCTCCTTTTTGCCGATTATTTCTGATGACCTCCGATTATTTCCCTACGTGAGAAGGGGACTTGTCCAATTTCAACCTCTTCCCATACTTGGGATTACAATCCAGGAAATCATCTTATCAACATCATCACCTCATTGATCTTGTTACTTCATCAATCACTCCACCTGGTCAATCATCAAAATCATCACTTTTTGTTATCATCACTTCAACATTATCATCGTGTCTTCAAAATCATCGTTTGTTAATCTCAAGTTATCAAAATCATCATCTGTTAATATCTTCACTCTTTTTAAGCCAACAAGTGATGGGAGTGAAACTTGAATAATGCAAATAATGAGAATAATGAGAATGATGAGGATAACAAGATTGATGAGACAGATGAAAACATTGTGGATCGAGATCGATTCAACAATGATGAAGTAGAAATAAAATGTAATTATATACATGAAACTTTTGATCTGATGACCTGTTTTGAAGAAGGTTCAGATAGATAAATTGAGGGACTAGACAAGATTTTGACAAACCTGATTGATGAAGAATCAATAATGAGAATTTTAAATCTTTAGAGTTGAATAGAAAAATAGTCGTCACAAGTGCTGTACTTTGGCTTTGGTTGTGAGTTGCCAAACAATGATTCCTAAAAACCACCGTTTATTTTTGTACTGCAATTAAATTGTGAGTTGGAAATTTTCCTGCATTATTTGCTCATTTCCTGTGGTACACTTTTACTGTAGTATGCCAAAATCAATCGCAACCAAACAGGGCCTTAGCGGTACACAAACATGAAAACCTGACCTTAAAATCATGGAAAAAACCCATGACAACCCAATTGTTTTTCTGGGTTTTGTCCAATGGGTTTGCAGGTCAGGTTTTCCTGTTTGTGTACCGCTATTGTACCCTTGAAAAGTATCAAGAACGTGTATCATCAAATCTAAAAAAAATGGGTATACTTTCACCACAGGGCAAGTCCAATGTGACGGATATGTGTATCTACTGGGAACCTCATAACAAAGGGTGACAGTTATGTCAGAGCGGCTGTGCATGGGATCAGTGTGGATCCATGTGAGCAATGTATATTGCTTACCTTTTCATTTAGTAAGGCAGCCTATATGAGCTAGCTCACTCAATGACAACCCTCATTCTGATCCCTATAAATGTAAACTGGCTTGCCCAAAGCCAATGCAAAAAACCTTGCCTTGGCTTGAAGTGAGCAAGGGATGAGGAGCACATTGCCAATTGGCAAGCTTTGGCTCATCCCAGTTTTTTTTCTCACCCTACAATACAGCCCACTGGCATTAGGGTCAAATTCTTGATTGTACTCACTTGGTAAAGCTTACTATAGTACTGATGTGCTTTGTTAGATTTCTCAAAATGCCACAATCAGATAGGAAGAATAGATCAAAAAAAAATGACAAAAGTAAAAAATGACTTGGTCAAGAATGGAAACAATCAAGGAAATGAAATGGCTATGATATGACAAAATTGATAGATCACTGAGAACTTTGAGAGGCGCTTTTTGTTCAAAATCTCCGAGACGTCTCTGAAAGTTATAAACAACCTCAAAGTAGACCTGCTGAATTTGTGACCTGAGCTTGAGAAGATTTTTGGCAGAGAAATATCAAAAGTTAAAGTTGAAATTAAAATTGGATCACATTGTAAATATATGACTGATGTGAAGATGTGATTTTAAGTCTTTGGATTCATTTGATCAATCAATATTGGTACAGAATGACCCTGAATTAATCACAGTCAAAAATGAAGATGATTCAGAGTTGATAGATTCAATTTCAGTGGAAGATGTCATAGGAGAGGTGATGATGAGCAAATAAGACTAAGGCTGTTCCCCAAATCCAGGGGGATCAGAGATCTCTGTGGTCTCACCCAATGGTTTTGGTGCTTGTTCTGGCCTTCAGATGATCCTGACCCCCCAGGGGATGGTCGGTCCGGGGGGTCGTTCTAGCAGGCAAAAAAAACTGGTTCTCCTTGGGGGCCCGCAGGGGTTCAGTCTTGTTCAGGGGTAGGAACAGAGCATGAATATCAGAGGATATAAAGGGTTTGTAAAAGGTGGAATTAGTATTTAAAAGATTTAAGTGAGTAAAAGGAAAACAAAGGAGAAAGCACAAAAGAAGTCCTTCAAATAATCACAATCAAATATCTGAGTAGCCTTGTCTCAGACTCACTGCCACTGGTTCATCCTAAAGAGGTTACACAAGGACACTTCAAGAGTCTTGACTCTCAGATCACTCATTGAATGATCCTGGATACAAGATTTAGGTGGGAGATATCAATCAAACTTGATGATCGGAATTCAAGAGAGCTCATCTAGGCAAAAAAAATGTACACCACGGGTTTCCCCGGGGTATTCCACTGAACCCAATGAAACCCCGGCTAACCAGTGATCTCCGTTGAGGTATTTGGTCCGGGACCTGTTCTGCGTCTGTTGTACAAAAACACCGGCAGGGGGTCCGGGGTTGGAGGCTGGTCTGTCATCAAGAGAGAAAATGACCAGCAGGGTACCCCAATCCCCAACATGCGGGGCTCAGAGCTCAGCCTTAAATAAGACACTTCCAAGATATCAAACCACGTGAGCTGATGTGAAAGAAATATAGCAAGTATATCAATATATCTAACCAAAGGAGAGCTCAGAACAGTGCGAATGACAAAAGAAATGATGCAACAGGAAGAGACTTGCCTTATTTGAGAATTAGCCAGAGAGTGAAAGTGGTGGAGTTGGAATTGGGTATGTCTGGAAGTTGAAGGGAGTATGGTGGTTGGGAGGGATGCAGTGAGTTATAAAGGACAAGTGGAACTTGAAGCCATCACAGGTTGTAACAATGACATGGCCCACCTTTTGCAGGTAAACATCCTTCATATCTACAAAACAAGACACTATGTATGCTCACCGCCCACTCTGTTGGATGGCGCTCATTCAAAGATGAGAACACATGGTGAGCATAGTGGCTTGTTATATGTCCACCATCTCACACAGCTGACACATTGGTTGTGTTTGCAAGGTTGGTGTCTCACAACCATCACTGAGTCAGAGGTTTGCAATGGCCATGGCCAAACTGAACAAACACCCAAGTGTGATTTCTGAAAAGCCTGTCCTCAAGAAAAACCAATAAAGAAACAACAACTAGGAAAGAGGAGGAAGAGAGATCCTCAAGAGAAGAAATTAATAGGGAGAGAGGATAGAACTACTAAATTAAGAACTTCTACATAACACTACTGTGACTCTGTACCCTAAATGTAACTATATTCAGAACCCATACTCCTCCTTTACACCCCCCCAACTAAAATCAAAGCAACCACAAAGACTTCCCAAAACTAAAGAAACCAAAAAAACAAAAAGAAAAAGAAAAAGAAAAAATCCACCATCGCACGCGCAATAACCCAATATAAAATAGAAAAGAATTAAAAAGCAAACCAAGAAAAAGAAAAAGAAAAAGAAAAGACACATCATTTTAAGAGAATTACAATCAAACACTAAGATAAATCAGACCGGCGCAAAACACTCCAGATAATTGTTGTCAAATTGAATGTTGCCCTGTGCTGTGTCCTCAAAAGAGAAATGTTTAAGAATATGTGCTCACAGGCATGGACTAGGTGTTGTTGTGCAACAAAAGGAAGGGTAGAAACTCCAGGGCGGTGCACAGGTAAAGGAGAAAACTTACTTGCACAGAGTAATCCCTCACCCAATCAGCAAGATTCTGCTTTCTCATCCGTCCAATATTTCTTGAGTTTTGAAACATGAAAAATATCATGAAATTTGTCATTGGCGGAAAGTTGAAGGCATACGTCTCTTCCACTGTTGATGATGTTGAGAACCTTGTATGGACTGTTGTATTGAGCACGTGGTTTAGCCACCTTGCCTCCTACCTGCAATGACCAATGAGTACTGTCCTCTGAGTCCAGAACTAAATCCCTCACCTCTTCTTGTACTGCACCACTTTATCCACACAATACATCCAGAGCCTGTCTTGACAGCATTCCCAATCCGCTTGTCTCAACACCACCCACTTTTTGACATCTTGGCTAACAGTATCCCTTGACAATGGAACAGGGAAAAGCCAAGGTTGATGACCCAAGACAAGATACCTAGGGGATACTCCCATTGCCAAGTTGATCACAAATTCTACCCAAGGAAGCGCTTCTAACCATTTGCCTTGCCAAACTTTTGTGGAAAATTGCAAAGTTTGGCCTAAAGTCTTGCTAGCACGCTTTGCACAACCATCCACTTGAGGATGATATGCCATGGTCAAATTTCTCTTAATCCTAACAAACAGTGCAACTCCTTCCAAAACCACAACACCCCCATCTATCACAATCACCAATCACCTCATCCGGTTCTCCAAAGATAGAGAGCCAAGATCCATACAGATGTCAAGCTGACTTCTCTGCTGAGTCCTTTTAATTTGCTGGAATTAATCTAACAAATCCGGTAAGGCAACAAGTACAAGATAACAACATGTTAGATCCTGAAACCTTAGGAAACATGCCTACAGAGTCTTGTGCAATGCTGCTCATTGGTTGCCAAGGGAACTCCATACTCTGAGTGTGTCCCAGTGACAAAGTAGTCTGCGCCTTGTGTCTCTGGCAATCATCACAGCAGCCTACCCACCTCTTTACATCCTCACATCCTCCTATATCCCTGGCCAGAAGAACTCCACTTGTAATTAATTGTACGTCTTGAGAGACCCCAAATGACCAATGGTTTGATGTGCCAAAAGAATTTCAGCAAGGTTTTTAGCATCCAAATGAAAACTGTAGATCCAGTAATGTATGTGGCTTTCATGTTTTACAAATGCCAAATTGATTGGAATAAAATTGTTGTATTTGTGATTGTTCAAAAGTTTCTGCCCAAGCCTGGATAGTTTTGGACAAAATTTCAGTTTCTGACCAAATACACCTCAGAATCATTTTTCTTTGGAACATCTTCAAAACTCAAGAAAATATGAAAAAAAATTCAAAATGATGGGACATCACAGGTTGATTCAACTATATTGTTGCAAATTTTTCAAACCTCTCACGTATTGCTGTGAATTTTCTACATCTTGACTTTTCTAAACTCCATGGTATATTATTGATTTGGTGTAGTGTATCTTGGATGATTCTGCTTGCATGTGGGCTGGGAAAAACTCACCTTCTTCCGTGTCAACATCATCTCTCAATTATGGTCAGCTTGATTTTGCAAACACAAAATTTTCTAATATTTTGAATACTAGAAAATGGATGGACTAAGGTGTTTCTCTTTGAATTGGATTATACCACAAAAAGACTCAGAATAACGAGATAAGACATCATGGCCAGATAAATTCCTCATGACATGAATAGTGACAATTGTCTTTAAATTCAAGCAATTCAAGGAGTCTCCATACAAACTCTACCTCTGGAACCTTACACCCCAAATCTTGTCATTCCAGCAGTTGATACTGTTCAGTTGCCAAAATGAAGTTTAAAGCTCAAGACTGAATTTGGTACCTGCTGCATTTTTGAGGGGAAGGGGTACTGCTGAGGAAAAATTCATCTATACTGTACTGTGATTCAATTGAGTCCCTTGTTTCAGTAAGTCCCATTATGCAGTTAGGGTTGAGTTACAGAGCAGCAAACAAATGATAAGGAAGTCAATAAGAATATTTGGAGTTGCTTGTGGGGGCCAGAATCTGGATGATGATATCCTCCAGAAAGATGCCTCTATCACATCGTGTGCTTAGCCATTGGGTTAGCAAGCCCACCGATGCATGATTCACGCCTCAAAGACATGGGGAATCAATGTGATCAGTCTTGGGTAATGAATGTGATTGCTCAAAAGGCAATTCATGATGAGCTGCAATGGTAAGATCACCGACCCTGACATGAGAAATTGTTGGTGGTGCTTGGAATCATTCAAAGTTGAATCCTCGCTCCTTCTACGTATGTGCACATGTTTCTCTTGGTCTATCAAACGAATTCAATCTGGTACATCAGCGGATGAATATGTAGCAAGATCACAGAAGGTCACCTTGTGTCACTCAAGACTTCTATTGATGCAATCTTGACCGGTGGGAGATCACCTCAATGATAAAAGCAAAGATAATTCTCTGGCATCCGTTTTGAGTCTAGAACACGGCCTGATGCGAGAGTTGCTTTGTGGACAACTTGAAATCGGACAATCATGATGTTTAAGACTCTATAAGACTGACATATGATCACATTCCAAGCAATGAAATTCCTTGAATGGGATGTTATGAGCTTGCTACTGTTGACGTCTTGACACAATGTCAATTATTTGTGTTGCTTTTTACTCATGCTATCTGTGCTCAAGGATCACGTCTGCCAACTGATCCGTACATAAACACTCAAAGAATTGACCTGCCCCCAGATATTCCCCCCTGATCTGCACGATTCTTTCACTTCATCCTTTCACATCATCATCAAGGTTCAATTTTCAATCCTTTCACTTCATCCTTTCACTTCATCATCAAGGTTTGATTTTCCAGTTCACCATAGCTTGTAAGTGAACTCGACAATATTAACAATGTCCTTCCCTCAACTGTTTCTAATTCTTCAAGTGCTTTCAATAGGTTCAAGACAGATCTTTCTTCAAGCACAACTACGTTAATCAATCAAATCAAGAGATAAAGTCAGTGTGTTGTCCATGTCAGGAATATACCAACAAAGACCGCTTAAATTTATCTTACTTGACCAACTTTCTCACTACAACATTTATTTCACAATTGTCACAATATGAATTCACTCCGTCATTTATCAAACGTGTCTCAAAATTGTACCAATATTGAGCAAACCAAGGCTTGATATCACAAGCAACTTGCACAACAGCGCAAGCAGCTTGCAAAGGCAGAAGTAAGTTTTGCTTAATTGTCTTTCTTTATCTTTTTTTATCTTTCTTGATTTCTTACTAATTTTTTTTTCTTTCTCACTCTCAATGTTTTAGGGAAGGGAAAGAAAGCCAACAATATGTGTTTTTCTTGCTTCATAATGGATTATTCAACTTGTCAACATCACTTTTTTTAGGGAAAATCCTCATCAAATAATGATCGCCATCATCAACAAGTAGTGGTTGCTCAAGCATTGACCAACCCCAATCAACAACTGATCTTTTTTGACGTCAAGTATAAGAAAATTTTGCCTGACAAACCAACGATGTGGCAAACCATGGAGGCTAGTGAGAATGCCACATGGATTGTAGCAAATGAAGAAGGGGGAACATACATTATAAATGAAAAGGATGTCGCACAATTGCCATCATCAAATGTATCCCTTTTCACAAAATGTCAATTCAAGAACAAGAAGAATTAGATGTTGCTTGTGGGTATCTTATAGGTGAGAAGGAATTCACCAACAAAATCACCAAGAATGAGCAACAGAGGGATGGTTGGATGGGAGGTGTTGGAATGCAAAAGTGCAGACAAGATGATGAAACAGCTGGTGAGTTATTTTTCTACTTTTTCTTTATAGAGTTCAACCTGATCTTTTTCTATCTGCTGTACCAGGCGCTTACAGGCCCCCTTGGTTTGTTCAAAAAAAACCAATTCTTTTTGACAAATGGACGGCTTGTCTTCCTTATTGAAAAGTCCTTGAAGATCTTTACATCCGTAGATTCAAAGATCTTGCTGAACCAATCCTTATAACTCAACAAGATCTGATGCATGAATTAAACACACTGTCATTTAGAACACTTGATCATGAAGATGGGATCAATCCAGACGGCTACGGTGGCAATCTGACTTTTACCTTGGATCAGTTTTGTGGCGTAGCTCATACAGATCATGATGTTCAAAATTCATGGTCTCAGGGATTATTTTTTCCAGCCAACAAAGAATTATGAAGATGGGAACTTAATCCAGTGGATTCAACGTGGCTAATGGTGAATTCTTCTTGCTGGACTTCAACATTCTCTTTGATTTTGCTTCTTGTGACGGTGTGGTGATCAATTTATGGGATCAATTAAAAAATTCACAATTACCAGTTTACCAGTTTATTGGCAGGATTCAGCAGGAAAGAAAATTCGAAATGGAGGTTTTTGATCAATTGAAGCTCTTGTAGGCTTATGTATTGGTTATTAGGTCAACATGACATCATTTTATTTCACATTATACATTAAGATCATTATAGTTTACTTACAGACTTATTACAAAAAGAAAGAAAAGAAAAACATAAGAAAAATTCGAAAATATAGGTACATAGGTTGGAAAATGGTTTTTAGGTTAGTAAAAATAAAGTTATGGGTATTATGAGGTTAGAATATGAAAGAACAACATTATATTATACTATGACAATTTTAATCTTCAAGGTTGATAAGTAGAAACAAAAGTTATTAGGAAAAAGGTACTTTTTCGAAGTTGGTAAACAAGAGGTACACGTGTAGTTTGGTTGTGTAATAGTGGTAGTGATGGAATTTAAGGTTTCCAAGAGGATTTTCCGGGATTTTTAAGGTTATAGATGATGATGTCATGTTACATGAGCAAGAAAAAGAGAGTAGCAGCTGTGAAAAGTGGAGAAAATGGGTGAAATTCGTGGAAAATGGAGGTTTTCAGCTAATTACATATGTCAAATGACGTCAGAATAGGTTGGTAGATGGCTCATTCAACGCAGAAGAGTGGATTACATAATGTACAAACTTTAAATCATTAGTAACGGAGGTGTGTGTAAAAGGTTAGAAGGCAAATAAAGAATTGGTGTGAATCTCGAATTTACAGTCACAAGTCAACATGTAATGCTCAAAACCTTAACTTCACAACTCAATATCTTACTCATCACTCATCAGAAGTAGGTCATGTAGGTGTCAGAAATGATCAGTAACACGTGGGCTACAAGATGCACTTTAGTAATCAAAAATTGGATCACAACTGAAAAAATTCGTAATCTCAAAAATTGGTTTTCAGCTAGTTTACAAGGAAAAAATCACCTGTATTCATCATAAGAAGTGCTGTACATCATATTATTGCGTCATTGATCACTTTTAGCTGTGAAAATTACATCATTTATTAGTAACAAAATCATTACATTGCGTCATCATAGGGTTTTTAGGGAATTTTGGGCGGATTTGATTGGTTTTGAGGTTGTTGACCATTGTAAAAGTTCTAGTACGTTGTTATATATACTTTGAGAGGGTTTTGGGACTGTTGTTCCCCTTTTTTCTTTATCATTTACGCCATTATTATTTTGTTTATCATCATAAACTTATTTTAATAGTACCTGGTCACTTAAATACGCCCTTTATTAAAGCTATAAAGAGAAATTTACTTTAGTATTATAGTCATAAAGACTTATTGGGAATAATATCAATCAGATATTGCTTATTTTCTTTAGTTATCAATTGGGAATAACACTATAGCAGTGTTGATAGTAATACAAAGTGTGTTTTTGAAGTTAAAATACGTGTGAAGATATATTTCTCTGGTGCCTTATCAGTACTCAATACAACAGAGCTCTTTCTGATTGTGTTGTTTTAGAAGAGCAGTCCTTAGACAACTTCTGCTAGTCATTATATTAGTAGATTATCCTCTTCCAGCTCTGTATAACCCTTGTTGGGTTATAAGTTCTACAACGGTCTTGTTGAAATCTTATGGAAGGGAATATATTGACGGCCACTGTATTCTTGAAAGTCAAGACCCCAATGACCGCTTCACAAGACTTGGAACCTCAGTTCAGATCTGTCAGCGGTATGCTGAGGCTTGTAAAAAAATTGTGGATATCACACAAAAAAAAGTTCAAGCAGTGTTCACAGACAAGAAAAGTAAAAAGAGAAAAAATAATGACAAAGAACACCAAAAAATAACAATCAAAACTATGGATGTGGGATGTCCTAAATTTCTCACCAGTCACTTGAAAAAGACCTGAATGATTTTTGTATGATTTTATTTTTGTTGTCTCTTTTTGTCTACACCAAGTTTTGTTATTGTTTTTTGGCATATATCTGTGCTATTGGCTCGTGTTTTTTTGTCTACACCCAATTTTGTTATTGTTTTTTGCATGAATCTATTGGCTTGTGTTTTTTCTTTGTTATGTAAGCTGAAATACATGCTTGAAGTACGTAAAAAAACCGATCTCCCTGCTGCATGTAGTAACGTGTCTTACTTCCCAATTCTATAATGACATTTTTGTCTAGATCTAGGAATAAGTACACTTGTCAATGATCAGAATTCCTGTTCTATAAATGCAAATTATAGACATCAAAATACCGCCTACCACCCATTTGGTTACCAACATGTTATGATCTTTGCCGCTGACTGGCTTTTCAACAAAACCTTTTTCAATCCGCTTACCATTGGTGATCAAGGCTGTGTTACCTTTGAGTTGAACAGACATGGGTGCTGGACGCGGCTCTTTGAGCTCAATTGCAAGCCGTGTCTCCAGCTCACTCGCCACCCCTGGATCTAAACGTGGTCCCACAACCAAGCTCCAATTGCGCAGGTGTAGGGACCCCAATATTGTCAAGAACTGCTAGCACTAAGCAACAATCCCAGAAAATCTACAATGTATCAAAAGTTTGTCACTATTGGCGTCTCCATTCAATGCTCAAGAATACATACATTCTCTCTTTTGTATCCTATGTATCCTTATAATTTCCTTCATATCCATTTAAGAAGTTTCACTATTTCATAGTCTTGACATTTCATCAAAAACTCTCTTGTTTTCTCGTCCTCTAGATCAAACAGATCTTGAAGTCTGAACCGCTTGTCACCAAAAGACAAACAAACACTCGTGCCTCCACATACTCTTTATCTATCTGAGTTGAAGTGTCTGAATGAACCTGCAAATGAAAAAAATCTCACTCAAACGCTGCAGCATAACCAACTTGCTCAACATAGTCCAACATTGTCTTCTTTTAACCTAAACTTTAATCATCAAACACTTCATCATGCCAAATTACAGGAATCATCTCCATCCTCTTTGATCTCAACTTCAACCGAATTCATCCATCATACTTCTTCAGATCTCAATTTACAAACTTGTGACAAATTATCAGATCAAGAAACAATTCAAAAACCATTATCTCAATGGAGTTTTTCTTCTGATTTACCAATAACTAAACAAGAGATTATTTAAGATGAAAACCTTTCTATATCACCTCAATGGCAAACCAATTAGTATCAATACCTGAACCGCACCACTGTGATCCACTAATTCCATTTTTTTGTAACAGTATGAACAGCCACTACATGTCCCACATGCTCTTGCCCCGCTTTCCAAAGTGACTTGCTACATGACCAAAGGAGTGTGGCAGGGTTGAGACCCGCTTGCGCCCCGCTGCAGGAAAACTTTTGCTCTTGGAGCGGGCAGGATGGACTATTCACAAATTTTTAATTTTTTTATTAATATGTACGTTTGAAAGAATACACACACAAAGAGCAATACAGCAGCAGGAAACAAAAATAGGCAAGCATGTGTTTTTCCAGAACAAGAAAAAAAGTGAGAAACAGGTTAAGACAATACGCACACATAAACATAATCAAAAAGACAAGAACCAACAAAACAATAATAAGAGAGACAAGTCAAGTATAAAAAAGTCACAAAGGAGAAATAGAAATAGTAAAGCAAAAAACCTAATCAAGAACGACCAATGGAGAAGTGTAAACAGAGTGATACTTGAGACTCAATCTCTTAGTCTTTCTTTTTTTTCATCATGTTGGCTGAAAAGGAGGTAACATAAGCAACAGCATTGGAAAATCTGCCAACAATGGGAATGTAGGATTGCAGCCATTGTCTGCATCCTACGGCACGTGAAATCGTCTTGGGTTTTAAACCACCGCGTGCAGGTACAGCAATGTCGGCTGCAGAAGAAAATGTTTGCTCCACACAACAGGAGGTACCAGAAACTGAAAGATAATCCTGGGCAATGGTTCCGAGAACAGGGAACCGTTCTTCATTGTCCTAATGAATCAAATGGTGAATCAACTTAAAATAATCAAGAGAGATGATAAAGAAAAAGACCTTCTACCAAGTGAGTTCTGATTGCCCAGGAGTGATTGGCACAGTGCCTTGTAAATAAATTTCCAGCTCAGATGATCTGATTGAGTCAGATGATTGGAATGTTGCAGCCAAGGTGAAAATGTCAAAGTGATCAATACCGGAACCGCTCTGCAACATTTAGCGGTATCGGAGCGGTATTGGAGCAGTTTTTACACCGCTATATTCACCACAACATATAGCGGTGGCTCCGCTCCGCCATCCGGATGCCAGAAATCAGATATTGGAGTGACCGCTCCAATACCGGCCGGGTCTGAGGGTACTCCAATTTAAGGTTTTATCCCTTATAGCGGCGATATATAGCGGTATCGGAGCGGGCAAATACCTTCCGCTCCGTTACCCTATAGTTCGGGTCAAAGCCGTAGATAACATACTACATTATCAGCGGCTTATAGCCGAAAAACCGCCTGCAGATGAAGACAGATTTGTCAGAGTCATCTGAGGACAATTTTCGAAATAACAAGTCAATTCTTTCCAAGTTTTCTTATGATTACTCTTCATTCCACAAGTGATCAGGCATGTCCTGAACACCCAAAAAAAGGTTTCAGAGACCATCTCCAACTTTCAACACCTTGATATTCATGTAGCACTGTAGCAGTACAAGGGTCACCAGATCAGCCAGAGTCAACCTCATCTGACCAAATCTGACCAAATCTGATGTCAGATTTGTTATGTGGGCTGTAGCTATCCACATAGGTATAAGTTCAACAGATCAATCTGACAAAAGTACGCAGATTCATCTGTCCTCAACTACATCATTGACTCAGATGAGATTCAAAATTCTCACTCGAAATCTGCATGTTGTATGTAGTCAGACTCATCTGCTACAGTCACCGCTATCACCAAAGTGTAGATCAATCTGACAAAAGCACTCAGATTCATCTGCCCTCCCCAACTACACAATCGATTCAAATGTACTTAATTTTTTTTACTTGAAATTCATACATACCGCACATTACAATGAGGGGCAAGCTCATCTGCACTCATCTGATAACCCAAGACACTCATGATATTTAATATTGAATTGTACAAACAAGGGAGAAAGTCATCTGGGCTCATCTGCACACATCAGCTTTTGATAAAGCTTGTGTACAGACCCGGTTTTTTCAAGGGGATTCGAATCTGCACTCATCTGCCTCACTGCGATTTCTCACTGTCACTTTTGATCAATCAAATACACTACGTTATTATTGATGCAATAGGGGTACACAAACATCTCAACCCGACCTAATAAAACCTACGGAATGCGAGACGTTCCAAAGTGACAATGCAAAATTTCAAAAATCAAAAATCACAATCCCCGGGTGCAAAATTCAAAAATCAAAGACAAAACTACAGAAAATACTGAAATACAGGGATAAAACCCCTGTACTGGGGTAAAAGTCATGGTAGAAACCCCTTTTTGCCCAAATTTCCAGTGGTCGACACCGTTTTCATTGCATTGTCACCTTTCAACAAAAAGTACCAGCAACACCAAAAATCAAAAAATCAAAAAACCAAAAACCAAAAACCAAAAGATACATTTCTCAAACTGTACAATTCAAACACCAATGTTAGATTCTACTGCAGCCAAAAACCACATGTTGGCCAACTAGCTACAAGCTCGGTCTCACAGGTATCAACACCTCCGATCGGAGACATTCTACCATCAGTCTCAAGAGCTTCAAAGTACCTGCTTCCTGTCTCGCTCTCCTCCAAAACCTCTTTCATCATCATCAATCCTCTTCGATTGTCCTCGATCTTCCTCAATCTTTGTCAACCGTCCTCGATCTTCTTATTTCTTTGTCAACTGTCCTCGATCTTCCTTAATCTTTGTCAACCGTCCTTGATCTTCCTCAATATTTGTCAACTGTCCTCGATCTTCTTCTTTCTTCGTCGACCATCCTTGAACTTCTTCTTTCTTCATCAACCGTCCTCAATCTTCTTATTTCTTTGTCAACTGTCCTCGATCTTCCTCCACTCCTTGTCAACCGTCCTTGATCTTCTTTGACCATCCTCGATCTTCTTTGATTATCCTGAATCTTCTTTGACCGTCCTCAATCTTCTGCAATCCTCATCAAATCACCTTCTGTCTCCATCACCAACTACACACCAACATGCCAGCAAAAATATCTGACGAAATCTTGCGACCCCTTGTTGAAGAAGCTGTGGCTAACAACTGGCCAGCACAAACAGTATGCAACACTGATTGGCAACGGCACAACATCCGAGTCTGTGTAAGAACTGTTAGAAGACGAATCAAAGAATGGGACTTGAAACAACAAGGAAATTATGATGTGGCAGTTGTAAAGGAAGCAGTATTAGATAATTACAAACAATCTCTGAGCCAAAAGCGAGCTCTCATTGCCCTCAAAAACAAGCACAACATCATCATCAGCCGGTCAACTTTAGCTCGAGTTGAGAAGCAACACTGACTGGTCCGGTTTGTCCCTCAGTGACAATAAATTCTTCCCCACAGAGACGGTGACTCCACCGGTTGAATGGTGGCATTGATTTATTAAACCAAAGGGAGTGATAAGTTGTTGATTCAGGATTTTCTCTGTCCAACAAAAAGGCCGGGCCCTGCTGCTGATGGGGGTGTAGCTGAGAAGTAACTATCTCCAATGGATTGACAAGCTGAAGATCTGAGCCGCATGAAATGGACGCAAGTCTGGAGACCGCGTCACTGGTCAACATGTGATCAGGAAATGCTGAGCTCCAGTTGGGATTTGTCTGTGCTTCTAGATCCACCAGAGGAATAAGTTGATGTTGTTGAGGATTGTAATGAGTAGGACACTGGATTTGATCTTGAAGTTCCTGACTGTCTTGACAAGGCTTCCTTGGTACCTACTTGGGATAAATATAAGTGCATGGACTTGCAATTGTGACGCATCATGCCCATCAAATTCTATAATAGTGGTGTTGACAGTAGAGCTGATGAGAACTGGGTCACTGGGGTCAAAAGTTGAACCCGGTTTCCATCCGCCAGCAGGTAGAGCTTTATATATACAAGGTGTGCTTCCAAGCAGCTTCAAGAAACAACTATCAACACCTGGAGGGACATACCCCAAAGAAATTCGAGTTGTAAGATATAAACTGATCTCTGGTGTGCTGTGGGTATCCGCAGAGACTTTCAGGAACACAGGTGACTGATGGGGATGTTCTAATTTGGCCGCAGTGGAAGTGGGTGATGCCACCGTAAAAGATATCATCCCAGCACATACTGGTTGGCTTAGATTTTGTTGAGGTGTGACAAACATGATTATAAAAATAAGATGAAGTGGATGAAAAATGGATGATTGAAATGAGGGACAATATACTTTGGGTGCATAAAGCACGCTTTATATGAGCTCAAATTT